CGTCTCTGAACCTGAGGTTCCGTTCCTCTCTGTGGTTGGCTGGGCCGGCATCCTCGCCCCGCCGCTCAGCAGCGCAGGTCGGGCTGCCGCGTCCGGTAACGGCGGGGCCCACGCTCCCGGGCTGGGGCGCCGCAGGCAACGCCCGGTGTCCCCCTTTCCGCTGCACAACTTCAGGAAAGCCGCTCGTAAGACAAAAAGCGAAAACTCGGGGCTGCTAGTTATCTCTGATAACTAACAGGGATGGAGACAAAAGATGCGAAAAGCTTTCCTTGCCAGTTTAGGCGATGTTTGTCCCCTGCCGGCCTCTGTTCATCAGTTCCCAAGGTAAGAAACTAAAGGTAGAGCTGACCGGGCGCTTTAATCCCAGCGGCAGCCAGGCAGCGGTCCCGGGAAACCTGCAGCAAGGTTACAGGTAACTTCTGACCTGAGGCTGAAGCATCTAGAGCCAGTGCATTTGAGAACCCACGGTAATAAAACAATAGCAAACGGTTATAAAGCACTTTTCTAAGCACTTAATATAAAACCTATTTATCCATTTAACCGCCCAACGAGGTAGGTATTATTATCAATATTTTACATGATGAGGAAACTGAAGCACAAGGTTAAATCTCTTGCCCAAAGTCACTCAGTTAGGGTTCAACTACAGCAAGTTGCAGAGTTCCTAAATTGCCTGCTTTATCAGGGATGAAATGGTGAGATACCGTTAATAATCCTTTTCTCTATTCCTAAAGATGGCCAACAACAATGACTTTATAACAACAATAATGACTTTATAACACCGTATAATCAATAATCACTGGATATTAATGAAGGAAGCTACTTCTGTTCTGAGTACAGAGTGCAGGGCTTTTCTATGTGCTTGTATCTGAGTGCTCTCCACCTCCATCTTCACCATGCAGATGAGACTTCTCAATCCCAGAGCCCTGCTCAATTCTTCTCTTTCCTCATCGGTTTTATCTCATACCTCAAATCCCAGCAACCCCTTCATAATTTTTTTTTTTTTTTGAGGAGACCATCTTCCTTCCCTTCAGAGTCCCCTTCTGTTACACTCTCTGGAACCCTTTTGTGATTGTCAGGTTACTTTTTCATCGAAGCCCATGTTTAAGCTCACTTCACTTACCATTCCTTTAGAAATCTGATTCTCCCCCAACCACTGCAGGTGCTTTTTGCCTTAAACACTCAATATCTTGTTTACCTTGAATTAGAAAAGAGAAGCTAGTTGATCTTATTCTCATCCTTAATGTCACTAGAATTCTAAGCTGCTGCTTCACGATTCATTTGAGTTTACAACAGTTGCTCTCTCTGGCTGTTGTGTTACTACTATTGGTTGCCATTACCTCTACTGTGGACTTGCTTCACTTTTATATTTTCTTTCCATCCTGCCTCCTGTTGTTGATTTCAAAATCCACATAGGTGAGCTGCTTCAGGGGACCTTGATTTCCTAGATCCTGTCATTGTCGATAGGATATCTACCTTTTATACATAAAGATGTACTCTCAACTTCAGCACAAGGCATTCTGTTCACTGCTTTCTGCAATTCCATATCTAACATGTCATGTCATCCACTTGCCCCTCAGGCCCTTCAACTTCTGTGTTGCCAATTTAGTTCCAATTAGAAACTTTGTATCTTCTCCTTATCTTGGACAACTAGTCTGATTCCCTTTGATGGCTACCTGGGAATCCTATGCCACTCCACCTTTTTTTTTTTTTTTTTTGGTACTACAATTGTATTTAAGCACATGAAACAACTGAAACAAAACCCTCACATTTATTTTTAAATAAATTATGAACTGTATTCTTCTATATAATAGGCATATTCTGTTGTTCTGGGTCTTTGCTTATGGTTCTTTTATATTACTTAATAGAGTTAGAGGCACATGGAGGAACATGTGTGCACTGAGAGAACATGTCAAGCACAAGATGAACTGGAGAGACTGCAAGTAACAGCACTGAGTAGACAGCACGTTTAAAGTAAGGATTGCTTTCCACTGAGCAGTCAGATTAAAGAGAGGCTCTGACATTACTATGAAGAGTAATTTCAGTCTGGAAAACATGTTTGTGAACTCAGATTAGATGACAAGTATGGACAGCATCAGTTTGGTAAAGATGCTCATAAAGGTTCCTGTCACTAACTCTTCAAAGAAAAGAGTTTGCACGAGAGAGAGAAAGTCAAGACAGGGTAAGTGTAGGTAGGGAGTAGGCCTCATATAGCTACAGAGGTATGAGGATCAATTCTGGGATCCTTATTTGTTTTGGGATGTAAAAAATCAGGTTTCCAGGAGAGGTGGGTATAGCTCAGCAACAGAGCATGTGCTTAGCATGCACAGGGTCCTGGGTTCAATCCCCAGTACCTCCATTAAAAAATAATAAATTAAAAAAATTGGTTTCCAATCCCAGCTGCCTCAATGCTTTGTGTGTGCCAATGATGGTCTTACGAAAAAGCCCCAATAAACAGTCCTCAACTTGTGAATGAGTTGTTTCTCAATTGTTCATTTGCTTTTCTATGTTGTGAACTCAGAATGTTTCCCACAGTCTATGTAAATTCTAATCCTAAAAGCCAATTTGACATATAACATGCCTAAATTATTAGTCCTTTATTATTAGTTTTAATGATTATTTAATTATTGATACTAATACCATTATCATATTTATGGGAAAATGTATTCACAACTTAGAAAAATATGTCTTTGTCTAGGACTAGGGACTCTTCTAGTTCCAAGCCAGTGATGACATTCTTCTGTCCTATATAGGGATTATGGACAGAGGGGCAACACACAGGGCACTAGGGAAATGGGGGTAGAGTACATTACAGGAGTGGGGAGAGAATGGGGTGAAGACAGGGCTCGGCAGAAGTAGTTAGGAGTAGTTAAAGAGTGGTGATTACCCTTCTTTTTTCTCCCCTTCCTCTTTCATCACTGTCTCACCACATCAAACCCACTGACCAGCTAGAGGTGAGGGGAGGTGAGGGGACTGAAGTTCTCTGGGGTGGGAAGGTAGTCCTAGAAATTGTGGCATTTGCTGTCCAAAAGTAGAGAGGGAAGAAATAAAAGGACATCTCAGTAGAGATCAAGTTGATTTTTGTGGGTAAAAAGATAAACAGACCAGCAGCTTTGTGTACTTCTTTGTGGCTTGCCTATTATCCACTACAATCATCATCATAGGTTCCCATAAAAAACAGAACTGTTTACTCAGTAATACAAGGGGTGATGTCAACCAGCTGTTGGTTGATTTGTTTTTTTCTGAGAAGAATCACTAATCTTTGGCTCTTTTATGTATTCAAGAAGGTATACAAACTAAACAATTGTAAACCAGTTCTCAAGATAAATTATTAGGAAATTCAGAACACAGTGGGAACTATAGGAAAAAAGGGAAGTTAAGAGTAAAACAGGGCAGAGCACTAGCACCCCTCCCCTAACTACATACGCACACACATCACAATTTACAGCACTTACTGTTTCCCAAGTGCCAGCTTAATTCAGCACTACTTCGAGCATCAGTTCTACTGCCCTGTACTTATTTATTTAACTAAACAAGTGGATCTCATATATCCCACACCAGGCTGTAAACTCGAGAAAAAGAATCTGGTGTTATGTTTCTTGTTCTCCACAGCACCTAATAAAACGGGCCACACATAGTGGATTCTTTGTAAAATATGTGAGTGTTCCTTATAGAAACAGTGACTAATGTTTCGTCCTAAATCATTTCAAAGCTGGTGTTTCTAGCCTGCACTCTGTGAGATAGCTTCCCTGTAGTCATGACACAGAAACAGATTCTTCTCCTTTGTGGATGGTCTGGTGTTGAGTGAGAGCTAAGTTCTGCCTAAACGACTCCCCACACTCTTCACATTTATCGGGACCACCTCTATTATGGATTCTCTGGTGTTTACTAAGATCTGACCTCTGTCTGAAGGCTTTGCCACATTCATCACATTGGTAGGGTTTCTCCCCAGTGTGGATTCTCTGATGCTGAATGAGGCTGGTGATTCCTCGGAAGGCATTCCCGCACTCATCGCACTTGTAGGGCCTCTCTCCGGTGTGGATCCTCTGATGCTCTGTGAGGACTGATCTCTGGGTGAAAGCCTTCCCACACTTATCACATTTACAGGGTCTCTCTCCAGTGTGAATTCGCTGATGTTCTGTAAGACTTGTCCTCTCAATAAAGGCTTTCCCACAGACGTCACATTTGTAGGATTTCTCCCCAGTGTGGATTCTCTGATGCTGAATGAGGCCGCTCTGACTGAAGGATTTCCCACATTCCTCACACTGATAGCATTTTTCTTTGTGGTGGATCTCCTGATGCGAAACAAGGGAGGAGTTATAAACAAAGGCTTTTCCGCACTCGTTGCACTCATAGGGCTTTGCCCCAGTATGAACGCCTTGATGCTGGGTAAGAATTGAACGCCGACTAAAACTTTTATTACACTGAGTACAATGATAAGGTTTGTCTCTTGTGTGGATCTTGAGGTGGTGAAAGAGGCCTGCTTTCTGGCTAAAGGCTTTGCCACAGTCATTACAGTGGTAGTGTTTCTCTCCTGTGTGAAGTCTCTGATGTTGATTAAGAGCTGACCACCGGCCAAAGGCTTTGCCACACTCGTTACATTTATATGGTTTCTCTCCAGTGTGTATTATTTTGTGTCGAATAAGCACAGTTCTCCCACGGAAAGTTTTTCCACATTCTTCACACTTGTAGGGCCTGTCCCCAGTATGGATCCTCTGATGTTCCGTGAGGCATGCGTACTGACTAAAAGCTTTTCCACAGTCATCACATTCATAAGGTTTTTCTCCTGGACAGGTTCTCTGGTGTTCAGTAAGGTCTGAGTTCTCAGTCAGACTTACTCCATTTTCATCACATGTAGGTTGTATATCTTTCCTGGAGTATCCAGAAGGCTCTTCTGGTTTTCCTTCAGGTTCATAAGTTTTTTCATACCTAGCAGACTGAGGCATTTCATTTTCAAATTTGCCAGATATATTCCCACATGGTTTCATTTCTTCAGAAACTTCTTGCTTTAGAGTTAAATTCCTGTACTCATTTCCAGTCTCAATACCTGAAACTAAAAATGGATCATAAATGTTAACTAGTTTCTTGTGAGACCAAATAGCAACTTCATTAGGCAACATAAAATTATTCAAATGAAAAATTACATAAGAACCTAGAGTTCCTGTGTGACTATAAAATGGCTTTAGAATACAGAATAGACTAATATACAAAGCACTCCAAAAATTGTCATGGAAAAGACCAATCACCCAATAGAAAACTGGGCAAAGAAAAAATGGATGGTTTCCAGGAAAAGAACTGCAATAGCTCTTAACACAAGAAAGGATGATCTGCCTCACAATAAAGGAAAGGCAAATTTAAACAATATTGAGTATAATTTCACCTATCAGATTTGCCATCAGCATAAATATAACACTCTGTTCACAAAATGGGTATCACATACTGCCAGTGGGAGTGTAAACTGATCCAAGCTTTATAGAGGGCAATTTGACTATATCAGAATTACAAACATATATTACCTCTGACCTAGTAATTCCACACAGAGGAATTTATGCTACAGATATACTCACACATATGGTTATTTCCCACGGCACCATTTGTTATAGTGAAAGCCTGGGGCCAATTTAAATGTCATCAGCAAGGGAATGGATAAGTTAACTGTGGTATATCCATATGTCTTAATATTAAGCAGCTGTTAAGAAATTTAAAAAAATGCAAGGTTCTACAATCTTAGTGATAAAGAGAGGAAAATATATTTGAACATGAAAAATGTAAATATGTGCATAAAAAAATCTCTAGAGGGACACACAAGAAACTAACAACAGTGACAACATATTTCAGAATAAGGGTAAGGAGACCAAATGGCTAGGGAAATTGAGTGGAATGAAAACTTTCCACTAAATAAATTTAAATTATTGTTTTTGAACCATGTGAATTTTCACCTATTTAGACAAATCAAAAGAAAAAAATAGAGAAAGTAGAAATAAGAAAGGTACTGAGTCTTTCACCCCTTCACCAACTTTAAACATTCTGCCACATTTGCTTTATTACTCCTCTGTATAAAAGTACATACACACACATATATATATATATCTTTTCCCTGAATCATCAGAGAATCAGATGCAGACATCATGGAGCAAAGGTTTATATACTGAAGGAGGCAGGAGATACTGGTGTTGTCTGGAAGGATAAAGGCTAAAAATAGCAGGGAGGTCAGTATAAAGGAAAATAACTAACAGAAAGACTAAATTAAGTGATCTCAAGTAAAATACAGCCAGGATTGAGAAAAATATTAATACAAAGAGAAAAAAAGTTGAAGCAGGACAAACCAGACTGCTGGAGTCTGCACGAGCCATCAGATTCCTAGAGAGACTTTGCTGACTTTACTGATCAGAAGCAGCACGAAGTACACAAGAGCCCTGATGTCCCGTGTTAGCCCTGCCTTCCCCTTCCTCCCAAGGTCTTTCTTCTTTACCTTTCTCCTGCTGGGCTTCAAGTTCTGGAGATTCACACTTTAGCTGGGCTTTCTTGGATGGCAGGGACATTCTGAGTTCTTGTCCTGTTCCGAGCGGTGCCATCTCCTGCAAGAACATTTCCTGTTCCTCAGTATGGGCTGAGACCTGGGGTAAATGAGATACAGCTGACATACTTGCTCTGCTGACATTAAACAAAAGAGGATGCTATTCACAGCAGTGGCACCCAGCTCTCTGAAACCAGAAATAAACTTCTTTCCAGATATCCACCTGCCATAATCCTACTCATTCTTCAAGGCCAGGAGAAATGTCACCTCCTCTGGGAAACCGTCCCTTCCCCAGGTGGAAGTCATTTCCCCTATTCTTAACAGCTAAAGTGTGTTGGTTGCGCCACTTCTTTGTGTTCAGAATAATGGAGAAAAGAAAGAAAGAAAAAAGAAAAGAGAAAGACAAGAAGGTAAAAAGAAGCAGAAAGGAGGGGAAAAGAACTCAGGGAGAAAGAAAACCGAAAGGAAGAAGAAGGAATGGAAAGAGGATCAGTAACAGGAAATAATGGAGAAATTATGAAGGCAGAAGGGAACAAAGGAGAAAGAGGGTAGGAGGAGAAAGGAGAAAGAAAAGGAGAAGGAAAAGGAGAAAAATCTCTTCCAAGTTCACCCCAAAACCTGTTCCTACTGGATTCTGCTCTTCTGAGCTCCCCATCCCACTTCTTCCTGGGAAGATGATCTTATTTTCTATTTATCGAAGATTACAGCCATCTCAAAAAAATCATCTCCCCTTCATTTTATCTATCTCCAATCTCATACTCTTCCCCGCCCTTTCTGCCTTAGAGAAAGATGTCTTTTCTTTTTCAAGGCTCGTATTGCTACTTTTGTCTTCAATCCTGTCCCTTTCTGCTTTCCTCTGTTGTTGATTTTTTGTTTTCTGTCTCCCCTCAGTAGGCTAAAATCTATCAACATAAAAGCAGCAACCCTCTGTACTTTGTTCACTGCTGCATTTCCAGTGCCTAGTAAACAACAGGTAGTCAATAAATATCTGCTTTAGGAATGGACTTTTCCCAATCCACCTTCCCCGTATGATCCTGAACTCCATTAGGAGGGTCTCCATTATGCAAGTCTTTCAAGCTTTAAATCCCTAGTGCTTAGCCAAGAACAGACTGCTCAGTAGAGTCCTCCATTCTTTCTTCCTTCTTTCTACCTCTGTCATCATTTCCAATTAATTCTCACCTAAGACATACCTCGTCCTTGGTAGTCACACTTTCATGACACTATTTCAGACTTAGATCTTTTGCCATATGTTCCCTCCCTCTTCAGTCTTTGTACCCCAATGCTAGATTATATTTCCTGTATTATTACTTCACTGTCTTATACTCTTTATATCAAGCTTTCCTAGCCTTGGTTCTATCAACATGCTGGTCAGACAATTTTTGTTGTACAAGACCTTCTTTGCGCTGTAAGTTATCTAGCAGCATTCCTGACCTTTAACTACTAGATGCCAGTAGTACCTCTTGCCATTAGGACAACCAAAAATGTGCCATGATATTGCAAAATGCCCTCTGGGGCACAAAACTGTCACTGGTTGAGAATCACTGTCTTTTATCAATGTTGAAACAAAACAAAACAGAAAGGTCCTACATATTTTGGTTCTTTTATATTTGGGGTTAGTAAAACTCATTTAGACTCAGAGAGAACGGGTTAGGAACTTCTGCCCTACAGAACAGAATCTAAACTCCAGAGGTAGACATTCAAGGTCTTAGACTCTCTGTTCTCAACTCTTCTACTCACCACTCACCTTTCCAACCTAACTGGGCTATCAACTGCTCAAAGAAACATGCCCCCGTCCTGCCCCTCCTCCTAACTTTCCACTCCTATATCTCATTCCTCTGAGATGGTGACTTTGATTTCTCCATCTTTTAATCCTTTAATGGAGAGAAGGCAGTGAATGTATCTGCAAAATCTTATTTCTTAATTATTTGTATTGTGCAACAGAAGTGATGCCCCTTTCAAGAGGCTGCTGCCCACCCCATTACCATCATCTCTCTAACACAGTCTCTCTGTCCTAGAAGTCTTCTGTTTCTAATGTTTCCAGTCAGCATTTCATCAAACAGAATTTTGTAGCTTAATACAGAAAAACATGATCTTCCCATAGAAAAGATATAAGTAAGTTAGGACTACATTAACCAATGTTCTGTGACACTCAGGCCCCTTTCTGACACATGGAAGTGTCAAGAATACATTTTGTGAAATAATGTTGGATTTCCCTCTGGCCTAGAAATCCATAATTCATCTTTTCTCAAACAGAAATCAATCTTTGTCCTCACCTGATATCCTGGCTCATCCAACTCTCTCTCTAAATCCTCCAGCACAGTCACCACCTCTTCCCCACTCTCTGGATGCTGTTCCTGGACCCAGGCTTGGAGCTCCTCAGGCAGGATGGTCAGGAATTGCTCCAGCACCAGCAGCTCCAGAATCTGCTCTTTGGTGTGGGTCTCTGGTCTCAGCCACTGATGGCAAAGTTCCCGGAGTCGGCTCAAAGCCTCCCGGGGTCCAGATGTTTCCTGGTAGCAGAACTGCCTGAAGTACTGCCGGAAGATCTCCCTGCTGCTATGGGTGCTGTGCTTTTGCAGGTTCCGATCATGTCTGGCGGTATACTTGTGCTCCTCCCCCACCTCCACCTCCTCCTTTACTTCCAAAAGTTCATCCTGGTCCTTGTGGGCCTGGGTAGCCCAAGTAGATGCCATCATAGCTGTGCAAAAGCTTATCAACGCTTCAAGCAAGATCTCCTGTGCAAAGTTTCTTCCTGGGTGGACCTGAGGAAGAAGCCATCATTATTAACACAAACTACACCATAAACAAAAATCGCAAAAATCTAAGAATTTAAATCTGTGCTTTGAAAGCCGCCTCCAGGTTAATTTACTATACTCAGAGAAATACTTTGATTAAAAAGACTTTAGAATAGACTCGTTTAAAGAGAAAAGATTAAGTAATAGGTGGTAAGTTGTTCAGGACTTAGAGAAGGAAGAGTACGACTTGGTAGGAAACGTTTCCAGTTAGTCCTAGAATATTACATGGAATAAACCAACATTCAGAGCAAACAAATAATAAAAAGTTGAGACATCCTTGACTAGTTGCTTTTTAAATGCCCGGATGTCTGGTGGAAATCATGAAGTCATGAAAGCAGCAAAGTCATATGAATTTATTACCTCAGGGACTTAATCTCTCCGCTTCTCATTCTTCATTTACCAACAAAAAGGCTGGAGACGTTGGTCTTTAAGGCCCTCTTCTATCCTCACGTTCTGTGATTCTAAGTTTAAAGTAAGGCAGGCCGAGGAACGAGGCCTTGGGATGCACGTCTGCGTCCGTGACCCAGGAAGCACCAGAAATGTCAGAAGGCGCAGACCCAAGAAGGGTACACGGAGCGAGGCAAGCCCGGGAGGTGTGGGGCGCACAGCCGGGTCTCTCCCTCATCCCCGGGCTCCGACCCACTCTCCGAGGGGTGGGAGTTACCTCTGGGTTAGGGAGCTTCTCGCGGACCCACCTGGGCAAGGGAGGACCGGAGGCCGTCCCGCTGCAGCCCGGGCCGGGCTCCAGGGGCCCAGGCCACGAGGACGCCGTAGTCCCCGCCCGCCGCGTCTGGAGCACAGGCTTGCTCACCCGCCGCCCCAGAGGCCAACACAGGTTCCCGTCCCCCGGCCAGGGATAATGCCTCGAACCGCCTCGGAACCGGAACCCAGCAAGAGCGACCCACAAAGGCCGGAAGCGGCCGCGAAGTGCGGGGAACCGCTAGCTGGGGGCACTTCCGCCGCAGCTCCAGGAAGGGGGCGGGAGGGCCTCGCGATTCCGTAGTTGCCCCCCGCGCCCACGCGAGAGGAGCACTGAGGAGTCTCAGGAATCGCTTTCTCCTTCTGCTCCTCTTCAGCCGGCTAGTATCCCCACTTCCGCCCACCTGATGGCTGGTCGAGGCTTGCCGAGCCGATCTGAGCTAGGGAAATCCCATGCCTTTTCACTCTTTTATTTCGGTCTCTGCCCCTTGGATGCTCAAGGTGCTTCAAATGGATGTTCTCCCCAGGTCCTTCCCGACTCAAGAAGGGACATTTTCTACACAGACTTCTCAAGGGTCTGGTGGTTTCTGCCTGCCTTTTCACCTTCTACGGTTCTCTTTTATGTGCTGATAATGTTATATACCTGAAAACCCACAGAATTCAACGGGAAAACTAAAAGGTCATTTAG